CTGAAAACATCCACTTATTATTTCTTTTCTGAAAACATCCATTCGCTTTATCTGCCTAGATTTTACTCTCTCTCTCTCTCGGTGCATACTTCACACAGTCAGGCAGTTGCCTTTTATGGGCATGCAAAGTTCTGTCACACACACAGCTACTCACCCCCAGCAGCTGCAAAGCCGTCTTCATGTCCTCTATCCACACTCTCTTATTTTATATTATATTATTTAATATACATACACACAGATAGACATCTAATTTGTCACGAGGTATTTCACGGCTACCTCTAGAACCAGTCTAAACAGAGTTCCTTTCGGCGAACTCAACCTATTTCACGTGTTTTATGAAGTAATTGCAGCTACTTCCACCCGTTTTGCGCATTTTACGAAGTAATTCCGGCTACTTCTAACCCGCATTCTTCTAAACCTTTCCAGCGGTTTAAGACCAAACAGTGTTTTCTCACCTCAGTCGTCTTTTGCTGGTTGTCCGGTTGTCTGGCTGAATCCCAGTGTCGTGGAATTAAAGCACCGGCCTGGACCCAAATTTCACGTCCCATGTCTTTCACCTCTACCTGGAGATGGTTGTCGACAGACTTCGGTGCTGGCTTCCCACGATGTCAGGATACAGCGGTCAGACCTCACAGAAACGTGTCTGTTGTTTCCATCGCTAAGCTCGAAGGACCAATTTAAATGACAGGGGATTTCTTAAAATCACCCCGCAATTCTTCAGCTGAGACACTTGAGTTAGAAAACACAAACACTGCAGTTGTCTTTACTCGCGAGGACAAGTGAAAGAGTGCTCCTACACGTAAGAGACACTCACGGACTTGGGCTCTGTCACCGTCTGCGTTCTTTATTTATACAAGAGAAATGAATACATTCGTTCAGTGACATGAGCATGTGCGTATGTGATTGTGTGTGTGTGTGTGTGTGTGTGTGCAAGGTCAGAACAGCTTGTTCAACTTCTTACTATCGCTGTAGAAAAATTCAGATACAAATATCAGAACACGTTTCATGAAGAACAATCAGTTCTAAACAAGGAAAAGGTCATCATGCAGTATTCTATCATCAATAAACTTATATCACTAAAAGCTTATACTGACTACTCTATTCTATTGACAGACACCAATAACACTGAGGTCAAAGTTCAAACTTCAGCTCTGTTGGTGTCACATGATTAAACCATCATGTCACATGATCACTTTGCTATGTAATGTTATAATAACCCATTGTGCTTTCTAATCTAATGTTGAAGTCTTCCCTGTATGGGTCTTTGTCTGATTTTAAATTAAAGAAATTAAAGAAATGTGAAGCTTTTTATCACCTTATGAATAAAACTCACCTGAAACCTTCCTGTTTTTGAAAGTGCTGCATTCAGATGCTCATATTCAGCTGCTGGTGAACCCTACTGCTCAGATATAACAGGACACAATCATTTAAAGTAAAAGCTGAACATACAGGAACAGAAACCACACACAAACCCAAAAACCTATGCATCCCTGTGACCATTTTCTGCCACTTGCTTTTTAATCTCAAGTCATTTCCACTGTATTGAATGGAATATAGCCAAATTTGCCAAAGGATATTAATTTGTTACAAATTTTAAAACTTTGGTCTGAGTTTCTTAAACTAGCTTAAAATGGTTAAGCAGCAAAAAAACAAAAAAACAAAACCCTCACACTTATTACCCTAATGGCAGTTTTCTGCCCCATTCATAGCCATTAAAAATGGTATTTTTTTATTTTTTATTCCACATTTATTATAACATAAACTAATGCATTACTTCACATTAAGATTTCATCTTGGACTGCCCTAAATTTGTCTATTTTTTATTTGTTCAGCAGTTGGCGCCATGTTTACACATTTAAAGCATGCATCAAAATTCCACGTTTTAAATGTGCCCCTGCAGAAAAAATAATGATGGATCAAAATGAATGTTGGTGCCAATCTTTTACCCATGTAAAGGCCTGATTATAATAACAATCAAATATTACTTGAAATAGTTTATAAAAACTATTTACGTATTTTATTTTGGGGGGGGGGGGGGGGGGGGGGGTTCAGCTAAAAAAACAGTGCGTTCATGTAAAGATACCGGGATTTACAGGGTTAAATCCCCCTAAAATATAATATAAATATCATTAAAACAGAATATTTTAGGCAGATGTAGTTTTAAAAGACTGACTTGTTTAAAGTGGAAAAAAATATTAATATATAACTTTTTTATAGCACTTTTTGGGGCAGGACCGTTTTGTATTCTTAGGGTAGCTAGTGTGATTTTTTTTCAAGGAGGACCTGAGGGTTAAAAGCAGCAAAATAAACACAGTGAAGATGAACATGTTACATTCCATCATTAGGTGTGTTTGAGAAACAATGAGACACAAACATGAGTTTATGCAATAATCAGCAGAGGGCGTCTGCGAGCCAGCCCTGTCTGAGGATTTACTGTTTGCAGCTCTTCTTCTCCTGTCAACAGCTTTACTTGGTTCAAGGCTGGGTTGGCCATCTGGTGTACCGGGCAATGACTGACGTACATTTTGGGCCATTGTGATTTACCAAAAAAAAAAGCTATTTTATAAATCATTTTTATCAACCATCCCATTAGAAGAACGAGAAAGAGATCAGATTAGCTAAAATAACTGCTCATGAAGAGAGACGTTTCTTATGTGTGTGTGTGAGAGAGAGGGGGCAACTCTGCACACAGAGGTAACAATGGAAACAAAACCAGCAAGACAGCAGCTCTTCTTCCTGAGGCACCTCAGAAGATTCGGCACGAACTCCAGAATACTTACAAACTTCTACCGATGCACCGTTGTAAGTTTCTGACCGGCTGCATCACCACCTGGTACAGCAGAGGGCGGTGAAATCAGCACAGCGCATCACCAGGACTGATCCCACCTCTCTGATCCCAGCCAGACTTTTCACACTCCTGCCATCTGGCAGGCGGTTCATGAGCATCCAGACCTGCACACAGGGATAGTTTCTACCTACAAGCCACAGGGGTTTTGAACTGCACACAGCATTAAAAACTCACTACTAGACTCCACACCGTCATTTTAACCAGTTTAAATCCTCACTGCACAAGTTTGCAAATGTGGCTACACTGTTTATCTGTACATTACAATAAAACTTGAAACTTGAATGTTTGAACAGAAATCCTAAAAAGCAAGACCCTAAACTCTTTCATGACTGTATCCTCCCTCCGTCCTCTGCACACGTGCGAACCCCATCACCCTCTCTGACTGAAACACGAGAAAATAGAAATGCATCTTATCCTGTTCACAAAAGTCAAGAAACATCATCATACAACAACAAACATGGGCTGTTCAGTCAGGCTGGTTTACCACACTGAACCACAGGGGGGCGATAGAGGCCAACACGTCAGCAGGAAGTCAAAAGGACATGCTGAGTCACTGAGCTGAGAAGGGGCACACAGTGGCTGCAGCCAGGCGCTCTTGGCTGAGCTCTCCAGAAAGGAGCAGGTCCACACAGGTGAGTGGAGCTAACTGATGTCAGTTACTTTGAATAAACTTTATGTAGTCTCAGAGAGACACAGGAAGCTTCTGTATAAAATCAAAGAACAAAGTGTTTTAGTAATCTGGCTCTACTCCACAGGTGGGCAGTAACGAAGTACAAATACTGTACTTCAATAGAGTTTACTACTGTCTGTACTGAGCATTTGTTTTTCCAACTTTTTACTGCTATTCCCTAAAAATATCTGTACTTTCTACTCTTTACAGTTTCCAGACAGGTCGATGTTTAATCTTTAAATCTGATCTCTGTGCGTGTCGTTTTTAACACTTAGTTTTAACTTAGAAAGCTCACGTGACCTCATCAGGTGACTCTACAGCACTGAAGCACGAGGCAGGTGTCTGCACTGATCCATGTTCGTTATTTCCTTATGTTGCTCTTCGTCACACACACCTCTCTGTGAGGGTGGTCAGCACAACTACACACACACTTCCTGTTACCTGCACTCAGACTGGATGTCAGTGCCAGCCACACTAACCTGTGACGCACCTGTCACCTGGGTTCATTCAACACTTCCTGTTTCATGCTTGTACTGGACACAGTTCTAACAGCTCCCGCTTCAGTTCTTGCAATCAGCCAGTCGGACTCCGTCATCACAGTGACGTCAGCACTGGAGGAGTGAGAACAGGCAGGTAAACGTTTCAGTGGGTCAGACAGAAATCTCACAGTTATCCACTGATAAAATACATGTCTCATACAAGATCCCTCAGATAGTAGAAGTAACAGAGAATCTCAGTAAACATTATGTAGAGACGCTTCTTTATTATTATTATTATTATTATTATTATTATTATTATTATTATTATTATTATTATTATTATTATGAAGTGTGCAGCATACAGAATAGAGCCGGATAGGTTTGATTAGGAACCTTACAGACAAGACAGAGCAGGTAATACAAGCGCGATGTGACTTTGTGTACTGAGTGTGTGTAGTGAGAGAGTGAGTCTGTGTGTGTATGCGTGGACTGAGTATGTGCAGTGTATTCTATGGATAATTTATAGTGTATGAGCTACAAGTTCATACTTGTAGTTTTAATACAGTTATCATTACACAGCTGGTTCCTGTATTCAGTATTTGTAAGAATGGAGTTGCTTGATACTTTACTCGGGATTTTCTTTAGCTGGTGAGATTCAGCAGTTTTTGAACTGTGTTTGGGAGAGTTAGGTTTATCTGGGTTTTCCTTCCTTTCCATTGATAATATTATCAATTTTAAGTTTTTAAGTACTGAAGAAACTTTGTCAGTGCCAAAGATCAGGGATAAATTATGAAGGCTGAAAAAAAGTTTAATTTTGGATGACATGGTTAGGATGTGTAATTCCTTTGGTTTTCCAGGAGAAAAAGTTTAATGTTTTTTATTGATTATAAGTAAGGTATAAGGTATAAGTATAAGGAATAAAAGCCTTCTTGCTAGGTTAGAGCAGTAGGCCTGTGTTTGATGGACAAAGGTTTGTACACAGACTGGGACTAGGCCTCGTCATTGACTCAGCTCTGGTGGGGATGTGCTCTTGTTTTCAAAGGTTAATCGGACGTTTCAGCTGTTTCTTTCACACCACACTCACCCTTAAATGTCTTTATTTAATCCATAAATGTTCTTAAACAGGAAGTGTCTGCATTCTGCTCTCAGAGGTGATTGTAAGATAATGTCCAGGTTTTTTCCAGACCACAGTGAAGGCGTTCAACACTCCTTAAATGTCCCTGCAGGTTCCAGCAGGTTCACCTGAGCTCTGCAAGCTACTGTGTTGAGGATAACTGAGTGAAGATGAGTAAACTGGAGAAAAACGAGGAGCGATCAGCCGTTCCACCATCCAACTGTGCGTCTCTGCAGAGTGACTGGTCCAGAGACTCCCCTCCTTACTTCCGAGATGAGCCTGGACCCTCAGACACAAAGTAAGAGGCTGTCTGACTCCTCAGACATGTAACATGTACATACAGTGGTTTGCAAAAGTATTCGGCCCCCTTGAACTTTTCCACATTTTGTCACTGTTGGGAAGCACTAATATAACAAAGTGTTCTGCAGATTACCTCTGTGGTGGCCATCTTGTTTTCCCAGTAATGAGGAGGCCTGCCTCAATTGCAGCTCTTTTATATGTTGCAGCTTTAAGGCAGGAATGACTCCGGGAGTTGCTTTCTCACTGCATATGTTTTATTTCACAATCAGATTGATGACAAAAACATACAGCAGCTCCTTGAACTTTCCCACATTTTGTCACATTACAGCCACAAACATGAATCAATTTTATTGGAATTCCACGTGAAAGACCAACACAAAGTGGTGAACACGTGAGAAGGGGAATGAAAATCAGACATGATTCCAAACATTTTTTACAAATAAATAACTGCAAAGTGGGGTGTGCGTAATTATTCAGCCCCCTG